CTCGATTATTCTAGATATTCTAGGGCCTTGAAGTGTGTCATCACATTATTTAATGTGGGTCACTTTTTTTCTAATGTTAGCATTCACTTGTAAAATTCAGTTTTAGAAAAGGCTTTCATTGGTGGAGCAGCAGCGCGGAATCCCATCCCAGCCTGGGGAAACTCTCTTCCTGGCCTGGGGGCCAGGCCGCAGTTCCCTGCCAGGTCCAGTGAGTGGGGTTGCCACAGGGAATCCCATCCCAGGCCGGCGGCACTCTCCCCCACACTTGGAACAACACTTGAAATATAGGAAAATGACAAAATGAAAAACCAAAGTGCAATCTCAAACATCCAGACCATCCCAAAAAAGCCGAAGAGCCATGTGCATAGAATAAAACACATGCCACATAACTGAAATACCTGAAATAATAGTAACTGAAATAAAGAAGCAACTCTGGGAAGCCTTAATAGAATTCAAAACTATAAATAATCTCTCAGGTAAAAGAAGAAATGATAAAAGAAATGAAGGAGATGCTTAACATATCTAAAGAAGACAGTTAAAAAATTGGAGGAACTAAACAAAAAGATAGAATACCTGGATGAACAATATAAGAAACAAAAGGAATACATAAAGCAGATGCAAAGAGTTATACAGGAAATCAAAAACTCCAATGAAAGTTGTAAAAACCACCTCAATGAGTGTGAAGATAGAATCTCAGACCTCAAACACAAGATCACAGCCAGTGAACAGGAAAGGAAAGATATTTTAAAAATAAAAAGAAATCAGGAAATAACAATTCAACACCTGCAAGATGACGCAAAGCGGAACAACATAAGGTTGATAGGGATAAATGAAAAAGAAGGGGACAACATAAAGGATGTCAAGAGGATATAGTAGAGAAGTAATAGCTGAAAATTTCCCAAACACGAGATTGGAAACTGATATCAAGATCAATGAAGCATATAGAACTCCAAATAGCCATAACCAAAATAAATCTACACCCAGACATATAATGACCATCCCAGAAATCAAACAAAAGAATAGAATATTGGGGCTGGGGATTTAGCTCAGTGGCATAAGCGCCTGCCTTGCAAGCAGGCAGTCATGAGTTCGATCCCCGGTACCGATAAAAAGGAAAAAGACAAAAAAAAAAAAAAAAGAATAGAATATTAAAAGCTGTCAGAAAAGACATCACCTATAAAGAAAACCTATCAGAATCACAGCAGACTTCTCAGCACAAAAAATAAAGTCAAGAAGAGCACGGAGTGAAGTATTTCAGATCCTAAAGGTAAATGATTTCCAACCTAGGCTGATGTACCCTGCAAAATTGTCTTTCAAAGTCAATGGAGAAATAAGATACTTCCATGACAAAGAACAGCTGAAAAACTTCATGATCACCAAGCCAACCCTGCAAAGAATACAGAAAGACAGCTTAGATACATTTAGGAAAAAAACCACTAAACAAAGCAGACAATTAAACAGAGCAGAAAGATAAAGATGCAAAAGCAAAAACATAACATGTCAACAATAAACAAATATATAACAGTTCTAACCAATAATGTAAATGGTCTCAATGCACCAATTAAAAGAAACAGACCTAATGCCAACACTCCTCAAACTCTTCAATGAAATTGAAAGGGAAGCAATTCTTCCTAAATCCTTCCTAGAAACAAATATTACTCTAATACCAAAACCAGAGAAGGACCCAACTGAAAAAAGAACTACAGACCCATCTCCCTAATGATGCAAAAATCCTTAATAAAATATTGGCAAATAGGATGCAGCAAATCATCGAGAAAATCATACACCATGACCAAGTGGGATTCATCCCAGGCGTGCAGGGATGGTTCAATATACATAAATCAAACAATGTAATACACCATATCAATAGAACCAAAAGTAAGAACCACACGATCATTTCTATAGATGCAGAAAAAGCTTTTCATAAAGCCCAACATTCATTTATGATAAGAACCTTGCAGAAAATTGGAATAGATGGTCTTTACCTCAATATAATTAAGGCCATCTATGACAAACCAACAGCCAATATCATACTAAATGGCCAAAAATTGGACCTTTACTGTAAATCAGGCACAAGACAAGGATGTCCCTTATCACTGGTCCTATTCAATATAGCACTAGAAATACTGGCCAGAGAAATTAGACTACAGAGAGAAATAAAAGGCATAAAGATAGGAAAAGAAGAAGTTAAATTATCATTATTTGCAGATGACATGACACTCTATTTAGAGGATCTCCAAAATTCCATTGAAAGACTCCTAGATATAATAAATAAATTCAGTAATATAGCTGGATACAGAATCAATGCTCAAAAACCAATAGCATTCCTATACACTAACAACAAAGGCACGGAGAGAGAAGTAAGAGAAGCCACACCCTCACACTAGCAATCAAAAAAATGAAATATTTAGGAATTACTCTCATGAAAGACCTACAGGGAAAATTATAATATACTGAAAAAGGAAATTGAAGATGATCTCAGAAAATTGAAAGACATCCTTTGCTCATGGATAGGAAGAATAAATATTGTGAACACTCCATTGTATAAAAATACCACAACTTTTTATCCATTCTTCAGTTGGTGGACACTCAGGTTGTTTCCAAGATCTGTCTAATACAAATTGTGCTGCTATAAACATAGGTGCACATATATCACTGTGGTATGATGCTTTCAGTTCTTCTGGGAATATGCCTAGAAGTGGAATAGCAGGGTCAAATGGGGTTTCCAGTCCCAGCTTTCTGAGAAATCTCCAGACTGACCACCACAATGGTTGCACCAGTCTACACTCCCGCCAACAGTGCAGGAGAGTTCTTTTTTCCCCACAGACTCTCCAGCATTTGTTGTTGGTGGTTTTCTTGATCTTGGCCATTGTTTCAGGAACGAGATGAAATCTCAGTGTGGTTTTAATTTGCATTTCTCTAATGACTAATGATGATGAACATTTTTTCATATATTTATTTGCTGTTTGTATTTCTTCATCTGAAAATTGTTTATTCATTTCAGATGCCCATTTTTGGATTGGGTCTTTGAAATTTGGGGGTCTGATTTTTTAAAATTCCTTATATGTTTTAGACAGAAGTCCTTTGTCTGAAGGGCAGTTCACTAAGATTTTTTCCCAGTTTGTGGGTTTTCTTTTCACTATGCTGGAGATTTGTTTTGATGTACAGAAACTTTTTAATAAGAGGCAATTTCAGTTACTGACTCTGGGAAGTATTTCCCGTGCGGTTTGAGTCCTGTTGATGAATTCTTTACGTACTCCTATGTCTTCAAGGTATATACCCAATTTGTCTTCCAATAGATTTAGTGTTTCTGTTTTAATATTTAGATTTTATTTTAGTACATGGTGATAGGCATGGGTCTAGTTTTAGTTTTCAGCATATGGAGAGCCAGTTTTTCCAACACCATTTATTAAAGCGGCTGTCATTCTTCCAGTGAACATGTTTGGCCCCTTTATCAAAGATAAGGTGGTTGAGTGTGTTTGTAGTTGTGGTTGTATCTTCTAATCTATTCCATTGATCTTTGGCTCTGTTTCTTTGCCCTAGGGAAAACTGCGCTTAGGCTGAACCTTTGTATCATGAGCCAAAATAAATTATTTTCTCTAACATTATGAATATCACGTGCTTTGTCCCAGAGATGTAAGACTAATGCACACTCTATTTTTCAAGGTTATTTACCAAGTTATGTTTGACTTTGGATAATTTTTATAAAATTGTTTCAACCTCCTTGATTTTTTGTCTTGTGTATACGAAGTCAGCATGTGTGACTTATTATTATGTGGTTACTTATTGGCTTCATACTTTGTGGTTATTACTGAAAACTAGTTATGTATAGAGTAAAACAGGCTTAGATATTAGTAAGGAAGAGGGAGCATCTTTTGTCTGCTAAACTTTTATTGTGGATGGATGAATAAATCTAGTCATTAGTATTGATGGATTTGCATATGTAATTGCTCAGGGATTTTTATTTGTGCTGCATAATAACCATATTCACCCTGTTATTTATACATATACGCATCGCTCTTGATCATTCCACTTTTCCTTTTCCTCCATTTCCTAACAGCCCCAGACCACAGAAAGCCGATCTCCATTTCCTGTCAAATTTCTCATATTTAATCTTGATTGTGGAAAACAGGCTAAAGAAAGAGTCTGACCACAACGCTGAACTTTATAGTTGTTGAGGGAACAATAAATGATAAACAAAATTTAAAATATAATATTTGATATTTAAACATTTACATCCATCTAGGGATTTAAAGCACACATAATCAATCAATCAATAATTTTATCATAACTAATATAAATAATGAATATTATTTTCCTTATCTTACAACTGGATAAAGGAAACAAAGCACACAATGCTATTTGAGTCTTTCTATTTCAGAAGTTGATTTTGAAACTAGGCTTCATTATGAAAATGACATCCAAATAAAGACTTAAACAATAAGGGCCATGCATGAGGATGTCAGATGGGAAATATTCTGAGGTCAGAGAATGAGCAAGTGATTCAGGAAGATAAAAATGAAGAAAGCAGAGATGGGTATAACAAGGAAAAAAATCAAAGGACTTTTTGACAGGTAAAGGAACTCCAGAACAAGCAGTAGAGATCAATGGATACGTATTAGAACTCCAGAACAAGCAGTAGAGATCAATGGATATGTATTAGAACTTTGCTTTTAAGTCAGAGTAAAATGGGGGACCATTGTAAAGTTTTAGGCAATAAAGACAATTTGTGAAAGTAAAGGAAATGCATTATTTTAAATTAAATTTTTAAATATGATTTTGGAGATAGAAAGAATAAAGTTTCTAAGGTCAACAGCAAATAAAAATATTCAACTTTTTTTTTTAATACATGGAATCAAACTCAGGACTGTACGCTTGCAAGGCAGGTGCTTAAGCTGCTAAGTAAATCCCCAGCCCCTCAAATTTTTGATAATATATTTAAACAATTAAATTACAGAAAATAAAGATGCAATTTAATTTTAATATTGAAAACTAATCTTGTGCTCACTTCAGCAGCATGTATACTAAAATTGGAACGATACAGAGATTAGCATGTCAACTGCATAAGAATGATACACGAATTTGGGAAAAGTTCCATATTAAAAAAAAAAAAAGAAAACTAGTCTTTCCTTAACGATCCCATTTTTCTTATTTAAGTATTTCTAAGTTAAAAAAATTCTAAGAAAAATTTGAGCCTAAAGACATATGCTCTAAATTATAACATGCTTTATTCAAAAAAGAAATCCAATTTCAATCAATTTTAAATTTTAAAAATTAATAAATTTATTATGTTGTGTTTGTGATAAACATACAATCCTGAGTTTACCTTTTGTATAGCTGTCTTAAAGTGGTTCTACAACTTACAGTTTCTAAAGTGTATTGAAAAATATTCTGTATAATATTAGTGCTACATTATGCATGTGATTCCATAGACATCAATTCTGGATAAAAGTAGTGTTTATTTTAATCATACATCATTGATTTTACTTTTCTTCCTCTGCATAGAAGAATATTCATATGTGGTTAATACTATCAAGCTATAAGTAGCAAAACTGCGATTCAAGAGTTACTTTGTGCTTTTTGCCTGAAAACACAGGAGGAAAGACACATTATTCATGTAACAATAAAACAGAAAATGTGACACCCTCCATCAACAAGAAGTTTTTGTATTCCTTTCTTTAAAATAAATGGCAGGCCTGGGGATTTAGCTCAGTGGTTTAAGCACCTGGCTGACAAGCTCAAGGTCCTTAGTTTGGTTCCCAGTACCAAAAATAAATAAATAAGATGGCAAACATGTGCTGTCTCATCGCATAGTCATATTCAATCTTTGGGGCATATCAGTTCATATAAAGCTTTTTAGTATGCAAGAATGTAAATCAAGTTTAAGGCTGAAAGTTTCTATTTGTTGATTGAATTAAATACAGTATTCATTCAGTTCTTTCAATTCATTGAATTAAATACAATGTTTAAGCATTCATGTGCTTAAACACTGACTTTCAGCAGAGCTCGTATTACCATGCTGAGAAGTGTGAATTCAAATTACAGTTGTGTATTAAGTGATGACTTGCATAAGCTGAGGCCTGTTAAAGCAATGTCAATGAGCCCCCGTTGTACTGAACGGTTTCATTTTTCAGATCTATCATATTTTCTCACATGAGGTCTGGGGAGATGCTGAACTGATTAAGTCTGAAATAGCACAGGAAACCCTCTACAGAGTCACTAGAGTGAAAAGAATTAGTAAAAATCAGGAACAAAGAGACCTGGAGTTTACTTCAGGATAAAAACATGGTGATATACTATCCTCTGGGTATTAAAATTACTTCTGTCAGGTTTATAAAATCTGGTCAAACAAAGCATACATTAAATAGGTAACCTAACAGTTATCTTTAATTATATTTTCTAGTATAATTTGGACAGAAATATCCTAAGGGTTTTCTGTCCTATTTGCTTCCTCTAAAATCATTGTCTTCACCAAGTAAACTCTTCTCAAAATGTCCAGTAAAATATTTTATTATTGAAAATACTTTAAAAAATGACAATCAGCAACGTTTCCTCAATAGTTACTCTTGATATGTTACTTTAGAGTGTATAAATTAGAAAGAAAGACTTAAAAATAAACTAAAATTATGATAGTCCTTCTTGGTACTTTTAGTAACTGCTAACTTATGTATAATGAATCTCATTTTTAAAAGTATTACATTAAACATTGAACAGTGACATTTGACATGGTCTCCATACTATGGAATAGATGTTGAAACACAGCGTGTGCTTTGAAAACTTAACTGACACTTAGATATTGTCTTACTACGATAAAATTTTTTCAAGATTATATATATCACAAATGGAGAGGAAGGGAATTAGCTCAGCAATATATGTGTCTACCTGGCAAGTACAAGGTCAGGAATTCTATCCCTGGTACAATGCATACATAAATACATACACACATACATATATACACACATACATAAAAGTCATTTAAAAATAGAGCATTGAACAGTGACTAAAAAATGACAGCAATCCAATAAAATTGTCAAATCCCAGAGAGTGTTTTCCTAATCACTTCACTTAGGATTTAGGAAACAACTGTTTGAAGATCCTTGACTTGCTATTTTTACAATATGTCACCGTTGGGCTCACAAATGGCATTATTTATTAATCATTCTGGGGTGCTTGTGTGTTTATACATTTAAAAATATATGAATGAAAGGAGAACTAAGATAATGTTCAAACTAAAAATTCCCACCTACTCACTGAGCATGGCAAGAATAATTCTAAGCAATTATTTACCCCTGACTAAACATTATACTTTTCATCTCTGTTATACTATTATGAAAAATAATGGAGATTCTAATATTGCAATAGGCAGGACAGGCAGTTAGAGAAAAGCTGGACCTAAAAGAGAGACTGAGTAATTCAGTGAAGGTCAAGAGAAGATGAAACCTGAAACCCAGTGAAAAGGGAATCAAAGTTTTAAATAAAAGCCTGCCAAGAAAGCTTAATAAGGCCAACAGGACATGTCTGAACCCACCTGATAATAAAACATTTCTTCCTTTGTGTAAGCTTGTCTAACTGATGACCTTGCAATGTAACTTAAACTGTAACAGGATAATCCATGCTTTGTATTACTGATGGCCTTACAAGGTAACCTGACATGTTTAAACTCTCTTAGCAATCCAAGATGTCTCTGAACTTTCCAGTCATAAAGCACTTTGTACCTCCTCTTTCATTTCTCCGTAAAAGCATTGAAACCCTTTTGGGTGGGAGACATCTCAGTCAGAGGCTCATTAATATAATAATAAACTGCCTCCTAACCCTCCTGAGTGCTATTTCTTCCTTGTTTATTTTTTTCCCATAACACTGTGATTCACAAAAATCAGGCCAGATCTTACAGGCATATTAAGCCCAAGAATGTGGCAAAAACAGTGTGATAGAAAACTAATACTACCAAGTTTCTCCTTGTACCCCACTGAATAATGTCTTTGTTCTGCTTGTACAGAGGATTTTAGAAACAAAATCATTCTTATAAAAGTATGCCTGCTACTATCAGGTCCTACCTAGATCTCTGATCTCCCAAATGAGTGTACGAGAGAGGTTAAATTAAAAAAAAGACAAACTGTATGATATTTTTAGGGCTCTAGGAGTGTCAAAACCCTTTAATTAAACTCACAACTCCAAGGGCTAAGACAAAGAATTTTCTGGATCAGCCCACTTTTATTAGGGCCAAGAACAGAAGATGGAGAAACTAAGGAAAGCACAGGCAATGAGCAGGATCTTGGGAGTCACTTCAAGGACATATTCAAGTAATGATTCAAGTCAATTCAGTAACACTGTCTCATCATGAAGACATCACAGAAGTGAGACTGCAGGAGTAATTTCTGGAGCTGCAGTCTCTATCTTGTTAACTGGGACTAGAACCAAGTGTCTGCAGCTGTGGCCTTATCTTGCCCTTTGAGTTATCTCTGGCCTCACAGGCCATTACAGGCCCTATCCAGGACCAGTATTAAGAGGTTCACTTACTATGAATCAACTCCCTTCACCAAGCAAGGGGCCTAGGCCCAGGACAAACTCATAGATAAAGATAGAAAGCCTATGAGTAAAATTTAAACCCTGCTCAGAGCCTAATCATAGTGGTCTCCAACATCTTCTCCCTTTTGTTTTTTGTAACAACAGCTGGGTTAGGGTGAGGCATGGTTGAATGCTGTCTAGGAGTTGACCCACTTAGCTTCTGTTTAACAGACTATGAATAAAATAAGGAGAAACACACAGATTACTCCGAGTATACCAACATAAAGCCAGAAATGTACCTTAGATAGTTGAATGGATTTAATTGATCTTAAGTGTCAGATAATTTGTTCCAATTTTGAATTTGTTCATCAAATTTTTGGGTTTGTTGAAACATTGACAATACCTCCTGCATCAATATCATAGTAACATTTTGATGGATAGCTTCCTGTATATGTTTCTTTCTATCCTCCCAAGAAGGCAAGGGAGTTATGCAGAAATGAGTGGCCTTGTAATTGCATTTCAATCCTTGTAATAGTTGTAAACCCTCTATTTGATCTCCTATCCATAACACAGAAGTTTCCAGCATGCTAGGATGTGTCTGTAATTTGATATCTATATTATGTTGTATTTTCCACACTTTATCAGCAGTTTTTGTCCAATTATCTACAAAATGTGCTGTCTGTACAGAATGTGTAATGGCCATTGAAGAAATCAGCACACTGGAAATCAGGAGAACAGAGAGACAATTTCTGCAATAATTAAACCAAGCATTCTTTTTGTCCTGTGTGTCAGATTTTACTAGTGTATGTAGCAAACGTGATGCTGGAGAGTAGGATCATGTTTCTGTGAGATTTACAGGGATCCAAACTCCTGGCATGCAAACCATTATCAATAATGTCTTCCATAAACAGTTCCTGGTCTTATACAGTGGCTCAAGGTACAATTTGAACACTTGAAAGAGTTTATATTCCAAGATCCAGTACCATATAAAAATACATAAGAATTATAAGTGCAAATAAATGGTTGGACAATCTTATAAATTTATCATGTGATTTAAAATTTCTACCAGCCCATATGTTCCCTTTTATAAAAGATAAAGCCAATTTCCAGAAAGACTGTTCTATGGGTCCTACTTTTGTACCATAGAGTAAGCGAGGCATGGGCATACTAAGTCCTAAACCAGTCCAATTTACATGTTGCACAGGTAGAGATTGTTTAGTAACATTGTTTGAATATATCTAATATAGGGCTTTCCATGGGTCTGTATTTTTTTATCTTTCCAACAAGTTCTCTCCGTGGGCCCCAATCAATAAACTCATATTGTCCTATTTTTCTTTTAATTTCAGCCTTAGTCTGACAAGCAGCCCAAGCCCAGACAACCTCTTCATAAATCTGTAAGGGACTAATTAAAGAGCAGATAAGTAATTTTGGTTTCCAAAAATCTGTTGCATCTCTTGGGTTAGATGTGGATCCCAGGGTGATAACTACCAATTGCTCTATAGTGTATCCCACCCATATTTGTGGGTGAGCAACATGGCAATGGTTTGATTGGACCATAGCATCTTCCACACATAGTGATAGACAAAATGTGAAGTGTAA